TGACTCCATTCAGTGTGGTAATTATCAAGAATGCAAGTAACAATAAAGGTTAAGGAGGATTGCAGAAATAGTCATTCACACACTGCTGATGGGACTGCAAATTTGTGCAGCCAGTATGGAAGGCAGTATAGAGATTCTTTAGAAAAAGGAGAATGGAAGCACCATTTGAGCCACTTATACCATGTTTGGTATATACCTACAGGACTTCAAGTCACCATACTTTAGTGACACAGCCACATTCATGTTTATAGAAGCTCAAGTCACAATAGCTAAGCTATGGAACCAACCTAGGTGGCCTTCAACAGATGAATAAAGAAAATGTGATAGATAGATAGATAGATAGATAGATAGATAGATAGATAGATAGAGGCAAGAGGGAGGGAGGGAGGCAGGTAGGCAAGAAAGGGAAGGAAGAAAGATCCAAGGGTCCCAAGACAGATGGATTGGTGCCCAGGGGCATACAGAAGTCAATGGGCTCGTTTCAGAGTGAGCCAGTTTACTCTCCATTATTTCCTCTCAGGACCAATGTGGAGATCCAGGTGGTTGGGAAGCATATGCATTGGGAGTGGGCATCACAGCTCTGAGCTGCTGTCAGTCAGCAGTCCTGAGACACACTTCCTCCGTGCTTTGCCATCCACAGGTCACATCACATAGGTTGATATTTTATATCAAGCCACACTTACACTATGCCTCAATGTGAGAGGCCTGAGGTTGGTTCATTATTATTGGAACTGAGAAAGCAACCCAGGCTCCTCTGACCTTGGATGATGACAGATCCACTCAAGAAGTTTCCCTCCAGACACTTCTTGTTTACCATTGCCTGAGGACAGGAGAAGAATTGGCCTTGCCTTTGGGGACACCATCCTTGCCTACTGCAAGACAGGTCCTGTCAGGCTTCACCAGAACACCAAGGTTACCAGTCCACTGAGGGGTGAGCTCAGGCCCTGGGTCCCATATAACCTCCTCCTGAAGGCTCAGCTCCAAGCCTGAATGGTCAAGAGGCAGGGGAGGCAGGGAGGTGCTGCAGGAAGGCATTTTGGAGTCCGACACTTGCCACATTATAACTGCAACCCAGGTAATTATATAATTGCTAATTACTTGAAATGTTATGGCATCAGCTTTATTTCATAGCATTAGTATGATTTATAATATTACCGGTATTATTGTTCATGAGTAAATTACTATAAGTGTGCATGAGGAATAATAATTCAAGAGATCGATAGATCTAGCTCTACAATAATCTCTAGGACTTAAAGTGTCTCAAAACCTATCATTTTGATTCATAAGATCAGACACAGCAAACTAAAAATCCTAACTAATATTAGTTGTAATAGAAACTTACAAAAAGTTGATGAAATTTAATTTTTTTAAATGTACCCAAGTTAACTACAGGTGAATGATTAATTATTTCTTCTTCACTATCACATAGTTATTATTTTAAATTTGGACAATGTTGATGCATTTTGAAAATACTCTTAAAGAAAAAAAAGAGAAGAGGGTTGGGGCTAGGGCTCAGGGGCCGAGAACTCGCCTAGCACGGGTGAGGCACGGATTCCATCCTCAGCACCACTTAAAAATAAAGGGAATTGTCCACCTACAACTAAACAATACATATTTACAAAAACTATAAATACATTTCAGAGGGATCCATAAAGTTAACGGAAGGGAGGTGAGAGGGGAGTGCGGGGGACTGAATTAGAACAAACTGTATTTCATGCTTTGGTGATTCTGTCAAACTGTATCCTAATGTTATAAATAACTAAAAAGAATCAGTAAAAATAATACCCCAAAAAGTAAAAAGAGGTGTGATTCAAGAGTTTGTTACCAATTAAAATACTTCACATAATTAAAAAGGGAAACCCCTAAGGGTGCACAGAGATAGACAAATAGAATAAATTTTGTTACCAAATAAAATACACAAAGTTTTCACAGCTGATCTCTCTGTAGTGGTATTAGTACACAGAGCCCAGGGACATTCATCTGGTGACAGTTAGGACCTCCTCATGTTGGAAACGCTGTTCCATGACACCTTTTGTGTTTCTGAAGCTCTGAGGTTCACCAAGCTGACGTTTAGCCTTAGAGTCTTTACTAATGCAAACCATGGAGAAAGACAGAATTCAACAGCAGAATTTTCTAGAAACGGCAATTATTTCATGTAAATTAATTGAATTTAATATATATATATATATATATATATATATATATATATATATATATATATATATATATATATATATATCCCAGGGATGAAAGGAGATTTAAAAATACAAGAAGAAGGGGCTGGGGCTCAGGGGCAGGGGCCAGGGCCCAGGTGCAGGGCACTCGCCTGGCACATGTGATGCACTGGGCTCAATCCTCAGCACCACACAAAAATCAGGTGTTGTGTCCATCTATAACTAAAAAAATACATTCAAAATACTAGAATAAATACAAATTTGTGGTAAAATTAGAAAATATATAACTGGGCAAAGTGATATTACTATAGAGAACCACAGGCCCCTGATCTGGCTATAGTTTATGTCCTTCTATGTTAACACACATTGTTCCTCGATTTCTAAAAATTCCTAGAATCCTTGCCCTCTTCCAGCTGATCTGTCAGCTTTATTCTTTACTAAAGCCCAATCCCTGAGACAGCACAGAGAATTTTAGACAAGAATTTTTGCACACGTGTGATTTCTGAAAGAGTAAGACATATTCTGCTTCTGCTAGATTCACTGGTGTCTCTGGAAATAAACCAGATCTTTACTGTAATTTCACTGAAGTTTCTGTGGCAGAGAAGAGCAGCTAACAGTAATCTACAGGAAGCTTATTTTATCTTCCATGAGACATATTTCATTTTCTAAAGCATTTTTTTTTTGTGTTCTTGTCATTTGATTATTGATGTTTGGAAATGAAAATTATCTTCATAAAAATATAGTCCAAGTACAGTTTCTATCCAGTCACTGAATGATTACAGAATTTATGCTTGCACATTCATCAAGGTAAATTATGGAGAATAACCTCCAGGAATTCATGTAATTTTAAAGGAAAATAAATGGCAATTAGAAAGCAGTGTAGATCTTTCCCATCTTGTTTCCAAATGTCTGGATGCAGGCATTGGAAGCAGGATGGCAGAAGCTTGGGAAACCAGGGCAGATTCCCTGAAGGACACTCAATGGCTTGGGGGCCTGCTCCCAGCACTCAGGTGTCCTTTGGGGTCTGAGTGAATATGCATCTAGAGGTTTCTGAGCTAAGGAATGTTCCAGCATCTTCCAAACAGGACCAATTCAAATGGAAGACATGCAGCTGGACTTCACCTTGCTCATTGCAGACATTCCCTTTTCCTCCTTGGGGATGAACAGGCCAACTAGAATGTGATGGGTGAATTTTATTGGTCTTTTACCAGTGTCTGGAGCTTAGGGTTGAAATACTTAATTTCCCTTGAAATTGAAAGTCTTATTGCATTTACAAACACTATGTGTGAAGTCTCTTCTTTCATCCGAGGAGAGGCAAGCAAACAGGCAAACTGTTGGCTAAACTCTCCTTGTGCCAGGCTTCCAGGAACTTGGGAGTCTCAGGCAGGAGGATGCCTAGTTCAAGGCCAGCCTCAAGAAATTAGTGAGGTCCTAAGACCCTCAGTGAGAAACTGTCGCCATATTAAAAAATAAATAAAAAGGGCTGGGGGTTGGGGATGTAGCTCAGTGGTTAGGCACCCATGGTTCCTGTACCATTTCTCTTCCTGAAAAAAATGTTCCCTTTGTTGCTTTCTACAAATGATCCTGGGCTGGATCTCCAGATAATGTCAGCAAGGGGTGAGTGACAGCACTACGCCTGTTTCCACATCTCCTGATCCTACTTTACAAAACACACACACACACCTTGGGTTGGAATCATCCCAACACCAACACAAGGATGCTGGTTTCACCTGTCATGGGACTGACTCTGACTCACACCAAAAGGGCCAGGGCACAAATGCTACCTTCCACCCCTTTTACTCAGAATGCAAACGGAGTTGAAATTACTCACATGGGGCTACATGCCTGACCCTGAGGGTAAGTGATGGTGACTAGATTAGAGGAAGCTATGGAGGGGAGGACACATAAGTACACAATCCCTCCCAATTCTGCACTCTATAAAGAGAGAGTGGGATGAGCAGGAAAGGTTGTCCTCCTAGAGGATCCATTTCCAACTCCAACCTGGGGGCCTACAGCTTTCCCTGGGCAATGTCTACGTAGCAGCAGCATTTCTTAGACACGGTTCCCAGGACAAACAGGACCACATCTTAGGAAGTGGGAAAGAAAGGATTAAAAGGAAGTGATGGAATTTATAATATAAAGGAAAATGCAGTAGTTCTGTCAGACAGAGGGGAAGGCATCACCACCTCCCTGTGGTGAGGGGCATCTACAAAATCATTGATCTGAAGAACGATTGGTGCACAAGCTAAAATTAGTTAATTATTTTTTTTTTAATTGACGATTTTCCTTGGTCTGGGTTGGGGTGGACCAGGTTTCCTGCAGGCTGGACCAACATTCTGCACCTGAGCCACACGCCATCCCTTGAATTTAAATTGATAATGGAAATAAGAGCCTATCGTACTTCCAAAGAATGTTTTTTAGTAAATAATGATTCTAGTGACTGTAAAATGTGACATAATGACAAAATCATGCAAAAATAATTCTGCAGCTGTCAAACACTTCTGGTTCTCTCTGCAGAAACACATCATTTGCTTCAACATTCTCATGAAGATGGACCAAGATTCCAGACTCAGGGCCACCAGAAGTGCCTTCTACCTGCAGGCTGGGGTTGGCATCTCAGCCAACACCTGTCTGCTCTGCCTGAACCTGGCTGCCATCCTCGGGGGCCAGAAGCCCAGTCTCATCGACCTCCCCATCACCCAGCTGGCTCTGACACACATCGTCCTGCTCCTCACTGTGGCCTTTTTGGTATCCACAGACATCTGGTAAGTGCAGGACATTCCAGGTGATGTCAAATGCAAAGTTCTGGTCTTCCTGCACAAGGTCATGAGGGGTCTGTCCCTCGGCACCACCTGTGTCCTTAATGTGCTCCAGGCCCTCACCATCAGCCCCAGTGGCTCCTCGCTGGCCAATTTCAAAGTCAAATCTGCAAACCCCATCCCAGGGCCATATCTGTTCCTGTGGGTCCTCACCGTGGCCATTACCAGCAACCAGCTGCTCTTCACAGTGGCCACCACCAATGCCACTCAGCCTGGTCTCTTTATCAACAGCCACTGCTCCTTCCTGCCAAGGTACAGTGGCATTTTTCTGCTCCTGGTAACACTCAGAGACATCTTCTTTGTGGGCCTCATGGCCGTGTCCAGTGGGTACATGGCCACCACCCTCCTGCAGAGACATCAGCAGTGCTGCCTGTCCCTCCATGGCTCCAGGCTGTCCGCCCAGACCTCCCCCAAGCACAGGGCCACTCACAGCATCCTGCAGCTGCTTGGCTGCTTCACTGCCCTGTACTGTGCAGACTCTGCATTCTCCCTGCTCATCAGTGGGATGAGGAGAAACGACCCCATGCTTGGGAGCATCCACAATGCAGTGGCCAGCGGCTATGGCACGCTCAGTCCCCTGGTGCTGCTCAGGGTGGACAAGCAGATCCTGAACATCTTGCGAGCCCAATGGAGGAATAAAGCTAAGATGCTGACAAGACGCATCTAAAGCAGCTCCTCCACTCTCGCTTACAAATCCCTCTATCCACACAAACTTCTTTCTGAAATGATTTCAGCTAGTGCACCAAATTCTCTGTCTGGTAAGGTTACCTATGTGGGTACAAATGACCTTGTGTATGGTTTTACTTGATATCTGCATTGGTGTCTTTAGGTGTATCCACGGACTTTTACAGTCTCCTTTTATTTTCTTCTTGTTTTATGAAAACTTGTTTTAAAGAAGTTCTATTAGAGCCACATTGTTCCCTATTATGTCTGAAAATAGCCATGTTGTAGTCTTCTTTTTAAAATAGTCTATCAACCAGGAAGTGCCATAACCCCAAATGCCCATCAAGAATAGAATTCATATTGTGTTCTATATGTCTAGCATGATCCAGGCCAAATCCACAGCAACTAAGGAAAAAAAAATTAAATGGATAAACAAATGCAGTTGGGGTGGGGGTGGGGGTGTGCACAAACAGGCACATTATGTATCCATATACACAAACATACAAGCATACATATATAACTTATAGAGAGAACATTACTCTGCCAAAAAAAGAAATGATATATGCAATAATATGGATAAATCCCAAAAGTATTCAGCTAAAAAAAAATCAATTGTGTATATAGAAAATAATGCTAAGTGAAGTAAGTCCATTGCAAAAAAACAAATTCCAAATGTTTTCTCTGATATAAGGAGGCTGACTCATAGTGGGGTGGCGTGGGCATGGGAGGAATAGATGAATTCTAGATGGGGAAGAGGGGTGGGAGGGGAGGGGACAGGAACTTAGCAAGAAATGTGATGGACTTCATCATCCAAAGTCCACATATGAAGACAAAAATTGGTGTCAACATACTTTACATACAACCAGAGATATGAAAAATTGTGCTGTATGTGTGTACTGAGAATTGTAATGCATTCCACTGTCATGTATTTTTAAAAAATCAATAAAAATCTTTTTTAAAATCACAGATTATATACTCCACTCTTATGAAATATGCAGAATTTGGAAACCCCAGAATCACAGAGCAGAAGTTGGTGACCAGGGTCTGGTAGGGCAGGAGAGTAACTGTCTGCCTGAGGGACACCTGGTTTCCTTTGGTGGTTATTAAAAGCTGTGGAACAAGGAAAGTTTGTAATAATATTGCACCATTTCAAATATCACTAGATCCAATTTTCAAATGAACACTATTAGGAGAAATGAATCTCATTTAAAAACAACCCCCCCCAAAAAAAAAAAAAAAAACTGAAAATGCTGGGATTCTGCTCAATGACGGTGGGTATAAACTCTGGGTGACAGGAAGGCACTGTGGCGCTGCAGACCCCAACCGTACTCTGGACCACCGACTCAGAGTTGTTAGGAATACCGGCTTCCAGGAACTGAGAACTTACTCTGCCGAGTCAGGTGTGGCTCTAGCTTTTTCCTAAACCTTGATCCTAATATTCCCAGTGGTCTTGGGTCCTACAGGAGGAATCCTGACTTTATGGAGAACAAACAAGGGCTGGAAATCAAACTGATTGTCCCAGGGTCACCCACCATGCAGACCAGGGCTCTGATGGACTGATCAGTCTGAAAATAAACTCCAGTCCATGGTCATTTCTGGACAGAGGAGAGGGGAAAGGGAGGGATCATCAAGTGGCTCCAGGAACCTTTCAAGACTGAATTAGTCTTCACGTCCTTATTGTGAGGATGGTTCCGTGGGTGTATGTATGTGGCAGACCTAACAAGCTGTTCATTACATATGTGTGGTTTATTTTTATCAGTTTCACCTGAATACGATTATTTTTAAATGAATAAAAGATATTAAAAGACAATTCAAGAGCAACTAAGAACAGAATAGGGAGGAAGAGCATGAGAAGGAGATCACCATTAAACAGGGTCCAGAGGGGGGAGGGAAAGAGAGAGAGAAGGGAAATTGCATGGTAAAGGAAGGAGACCCTCATTGTTATACAAAATTACATATAAGAGGAAGTGAGGGGAAAGGGGATAAAACAAGAGAGAGAAATGAATTACAGTAGATGGGGTAGAGAGAGAAGAGGGGAGGGGAGGGGAGGGGAGGGGGGATAGTAGAGGATAGGAAGGGCAGCAGAATACAACAGACACTAGTATGGCAGTATGTAAAAAAGTGGATGTGGTACCAATGTGAATTTGCAATATGTATATGGGGTAAAAATGGGAGTTCATAATCTGCTTGAGTAAAATGTATGAAATATGATATGTCAAGAGCTTTGTAATGTTTTGAACAACTAATAAAAAAATTAAAAAAAATAAAAGACAATTCATCAAAAGGCAGATGCCAATTATACCTAAGGAAATATGGCAGACAACACACATCATTATGGAATTGTAAGAAATCAATTAATTTGAAAAGAAACAAAAAAATTGACAAGACAAAAATTTGGTTATTTGAAAAAATAAATGAAATTGAGAAACAATTACCCACAAAGGGAATGAGGGAGAAAATTCAAATTACTAAAATTCATGATGCAAGAGGAAATATCATGATGGACACTATTGAAATACAGAAGGTAATCAGAAACTGTTTTGAAAGTATATATTCTAATAATATGCAAAATCATGAAGACATTGACCAATTATTAGAGACATGTGACCTCCCCAGACTGAATCCGGAGGACATACATGGTTTAAACCCATCAACTTAAAATAATGAAATGCAAGATGCCATCAAAAGCCTACAACTAAGAAAAGCCCAGGTCTAGAGAGACTGTCAGCCAAGGTCTATGAGACCTCCAAAGCAGAAATAACACCGAATTTCTCAAATTATTTTTATGAAATAGAAAGGAGGAACCTTTCCAAATTCATTCTATGAAGCTAGTATCACCCTGATACCAAAACCATACAAAGATACAAAGAAAGAAAATTTCCCACCAGTATCCCTGATGGTCACAGATGCAAAAATTCTCAATAATATTCTGGCAAATAGGGGCTGCAGCTGGGGTCCAGTGGTAGAGCACTCACTCACCTGCCATGTGCGAGGCATTGAGTTTGATCCTCAGCACCACTAAAAAGTGAATAAAAATAAAGTCATTGTGCCAATGTACAACTAAAGAAAAATATTTTTTTTAAAAAAAATCCTGGCAGATAGCATACAAAAACATGTTTAAAAGATAGTGCACCATGATCAAGTGGGGTTTCTCCCAGGGATGCAAGGTTGGTTTAACATATGGAAATCAATAAACATAATTTATCATGTAAATAAACTTGAAGATCAGAGTCATATGATTATCTTGATAGAAGCAGAAAAAGCATTTAACAAAATTCATGCTCGAAACATTTGGGAATCTAGGGATAGTAGGAACATACCTCAACTCTGTTAGAGCTATCTATGATAAACCCATGGCCAACACCATTCCAAATGGAGAAAAATTGAAAGCATTCCCTCTAAAACCTAGAGCCAGACAGGCATGTCATCTTTCACCATTTCAATTTCACATCAAACTGCTAGCCAGAGCAGTTAGAGAGAAGGGAATTAAAGGGATACAAATAGGAAAAGAAGAACTCAAACTATCACTATTTGCTGACAACATGATTCTATATCTGGAATATAAAAAAAATTCCACTGGAAATCTTCTATAACTCATAAGTGAATTCAGCAAAATGGCATGATATAAAATCAAGACCCATAAATCCAATGTGTTCCCACAGATCTCTGATGAATCCTCTGAAAGAGAAATTGGGGAATCTACCCCGATCACAATAGCCTCAGAAAGAAAAATACAATATTTGCAAATTAATCCAACCAAAGAGGTGAGAGACCTCCACAGTCAAACAACAGAACAGTAAGGAGAGAAACTGAGGAAGGCCTTTGAAGACAGAGCCATCTCCCATGTACTTGGGTGGGCAGAATGAATCTCATCACAATGGTCCTACTGCCAAAAGCTCTGTACAGATTGAATGCAATTCCTATTAAGACACCAATGATGTTCTGCATAGAAATAGAAAAAGATGTCATGAAATTCATTTGGCAAAGTAAGAGGCCCCGAACAGCAAAAGCAATCCTTAGCAAGAACAGGGTCAAAGGACGCATCACAATACCAGTCCCTGAATCACACCACAGTGCTAGAGTAACAAAAATAGCATGGTTGTGGCATGAAGACAGACAGACCAACAAACAGGATAGAAGACACAGAGAAACCCACATAAACACAGTTCTCTCACAAAAGACAAAGGTACCAGAAACACACATTGGAGCAAAGAGCCTCTTCAACAAATGGTGCTGGGAAAACAGGAAATCCATCTGCAGCAAAGTGAAATGAAACCCCTCCCTCTCACCTTGCACAAAACTCATCTCAAAGTGAATAAAGGACTTTGGCACTACAGCAGAGACCCTGAACCCAATGGAAGAAGAAATTAGCCCCAAATCTCCACCATGTCAGCTTAGGAGCTGACTTCCTTAACAAGACCCCTAAAGCACACACACACACACACACACACACAAAAAAAAACCCAAATCAAGAATCAATAAATGAGATGAATTCAAAGTAAAAACTTCCTCTCAGCAAACGAAGCAATCAAAGAGAGAATCTACAGAATGGGAGAAACTGTTTACTACATGCACCTCAGAGCATTGATCTCAAGAATCTATAAAGAACTCAAAAAACTTTAACACCAAAAAAAAAAAAAAAAGCCAATCAGTAAATGGGCAAAGGAACTGAACAGACACTTCACAAAGGAAAAAACACAACCCATCAACCAATATATGAGCAAATGTCTTCTGATATGCAGATGCCAATCACAAGGGAGGCACTGGGGTGGGGGATGGAGGTTGTTTGAAGTAGAGAGGGGAGTGGAGGGAGGGGGTGGGAGGGGGGAAGGACAGTGGAATCAGTCAGACATTATTACCCCACATGCACATATGATCACATGACTGGTGTATTTCCACATCCTGTATAGCAAGAAGGATGTGAATTTATACTCCATTTATATATGATGTGTCAATGCGTTTTACTGTCAACTGTAACTCACTGTAACCAATGCAAAAAACAAA